TATATACAAACACACCCACATACAAACACAAACACACACACACACGCACACACACACATACACACACACACACACACACACACATACACACACACACACACAAGCACATACATACACAAACACAAACAAGGCAAAATCGTCCCAGACGACCACTCACTTGACCTTGACCATCAATCATTTATTTATAGAGGCACCAGCCGTCCATGTCCAGGGGCTACGGCCACCCACTCTCAAGGAAAAAACGGCTTGTCTTAGACATTTGAGCGTCTTCGACAGTTCCATAGTTATAGTTATCAGTATTATAATTGTTTGTTGTTGTTGTTTTTTTATTTAATAAAATAATAACCAAAGTGGGGGAGTGGGAACAGGTTGATTGTATTGGTGATCGTCTTTGACAATAAGTGGCCATTAGGGCATGTTCGATTCATTCTTCACCCTCATTGTGTGACCCAGACAAAAGAAATAGCAACCGTATCAGAGGTTCCCAACGCAAAACGCTTCTTTTTAGTTTTAGTAAGAGTTTCCGGAACTTGCAACACAATTAGGTCATATAAGGGCAGAAGATTAGAGGTGTTACTAGAGAGTAACAAAAACAAAACAGAAGGAGGGGAGATAAAGAAGATAGATTTTTGATAGGAAAGAAGAAGCAAACCACACGAGAACACCCACCAATCACCCACACGCAAAATGCTGCGCCATGGAAAAAACACATGTTGTGTTATCTAACAGTAACGGTCGTTGGAAAAATTTAATATGAATATTTTTTAAAATAAGAAAAATTGATCGTTTCATTGCTAGAATGCTTTACAATATATCCTACACAACAGGCAACATGCAGTCTCAGGCTAAGCGGGAGAAAGTATTAAGATTTTTTACATTGTAGTTCACTAAAGACAAAAGACAATCGATTCGTCCTTCGTGGGGACAGCAAAACTTCGACTCAACGAATCGGATTCAAGGAAATCTCGGATTCAACGAAAGGAGACTGATTTCCCGGAGAAATTTTTTAATTTGTTTGCTGGTTTGTTGGTTGGTTGGTTGGTTAGTTGGTTGGTTGGTTAGTTGGTTGGTTGGTTGGTTAGTTGGTTTGTTGGTTGGTTGGTTAGTTGGGGAGTGTTTCGTTTTGTTTTGGATTTTTGGGGTTTGTTTGTCTTCTTTATGTTTGGTAGTTGGTTTTTTTTATAGTAAAATCAATAGAATTCGAAGATCACATAATTGACTAAAGTCGGATTCAATGAAGTCGCTTGCTGGGCGAACAACTCCACTGATGTGACTTCACGCATTCTTCTCGAGAAACGGAGCTTATCTACTCTTTTCTAAGTGACCATAGATCGCAGTTGCACCGTGGAAGTAGGGTATTTTCATCACGTTCCTGAAGAAGCCCATAGAGTGAAATGTTGAATATGTCTATACTATAAATAAAGTAATAAAACTGCATAATATACTCTCAGGTCTCCACCAATTTCTCTTTTCCGGCCGTGTTTCCTCGAATAATGATGATGATGATGATGATGATGATGATGATGATGATGATGATGATGATGATGACGATGATGATGATGATGAACGAACTTTAATCGATAAAGAAATGCATAACACCAGCAATACATACTTTGATTTGCACATCATAAATGTTCAGAATAATTCCGTATAAAAATTCACGTAACCGACACTATTTACCTTACAAGTGCCTTTAGTCAAGTATAGAAATTCTGCTAAGTGTTTTGGCATCCAGATGATACTACTAAAGGATACACAAAAGTAAAGCAATATGAAGACGCAAAATAAACTTTTATTTAAACGAAGTGTGTTTTAATTCTTTTTAAACAACAGTGGTATTCTTTGTATCTGCCAAACATGCAACCAAAGCAAGATTTCATTTACCCGAAGAGCGCCCGTCGGCCAGAGTCGACTTGCTGAGGCAAAGGACTGGCCCAAAATGAAGAGAAGAGAGAGTTCGCCGGCCCACAAACGCAATCGTCGCGCAGCGGGCAAGCCAAGGATAGCCAATTTCGTCACCTCGAAGAACATTCGATTCCCCTCCCTGGTAATTTGTTTTTCCTTACATAGTTTAGCCTTCAATTGTGCTGAGTCAAATAGAACAAATGGCGGCGAAACTTTCCATGGAAAAAGAAAACTGCTAAAAATATCTTCTTCGGTAATTGTTCATGCGCTGTCAGTTCACCAATCGCACGGCTCTGCGGCTGCGCAAAGGGAGAGAGAGAGAGGTGGAGAGAGAGAGAGAGAGAGAGAGAGGGGGGGGGACAGAAGGAGAGACAGAGCGAAAAAGAGAGAGACGGGGAGAGACAGGGGAGAGGGACAGAGACAGAGAGAGAGAGAGATGGAGAGAAATGGAGCGAGAGATTGAGAAAAACAGAGCGAGAGACAGAGTAGGAAGAAGCAGTTTCAAGCTTAAAACCAGTGTGAACAGGTCTCCAACACCGAACACTTTAGTTCAGGTCTTTTTCTCATATATATATGTATTAGTCGAAATCGTTCAAGGCAGCTACACATTGTTGGGGAGAAAAGAGGTTGACTGAGGTGTCTATGTCTTAGGCGGTATCGTTACGATGAAGGGAAAAAACACAAAAGAGGGAGAGGGGGGGTGTTGTGGGAAATGATCGTTTGTACAGATGATTGTCTTGGGCAGGTAGCTATAATTAGAGAAGGTTTGACACACAGACAGACAGACAGACAGATAGACAGACAGACAGACAGACAGACAGACAGACAGACAGACAGACAGACAGATAGATAGACAGACAAGGACAGACAGACAGACAAAGACAGACAGACAAAGACAGACAGACAGACAGACAGACAAAGACAGACAGACATACAGACAGGCAGACAGGGGGCAATGACCCAGTGTTGTCTACAAGTGCAATCCCTCTCTGGTGCAATCTGTCCTCATCAGTCCTCTAAAACGCATCTCTGTCACCTTGGTGCATTGTGCATAGTGCATAGTTCGAACCTTGGCCTTAATAAACTGGGACGTGAAATCACACACAAGTTGTTTGGTTTTGTTCTGTTTTCAAGTTTTTTGTTGTTTTTTAACGAGACTGTCTTGTGACAGTCTTAACATATCGTTATCGTAGAATTAAAAAGTTCTACCAGACAATTTTAGCCGTTTTGAGTTAATAAGACCATGAGGTCAGAAACTATCTGCTCTATCAAAATCGTAAGATTATTAGGAGTCGTTAACAAGATATTCAAAGAATTGCATTCGAAAGGAGGTTAAATGTGAAACTCGTAATGTTTTACGTCAAATTTCTCTGAACTAGATACTGAGCATGGAACTTTGTAATTCTAGGGTGGGGATGTACAGTGGAATATATCATGACTTGCATACGCCTTACCCTTCTTCTTCATCCTTCTACTCGTCGTCGTCGTCATTGTCATCGTATCTTCCTCTAGCAACACGTATACTGTTAAACATGCAAATTTATGCTTCTGATTTCTGTATGATTGTTTTAAATCACGTGCCACAACATCGCCTTTGTTCAGTTGTCCGACTTATAATGTATGTTTGCTACGTCCTTTATTGAAGAGTTGACAGAAGTAAGCTGGGGAAAAGAAACAATAGAAGCAGATCACGTACGTCACCACAGGACAGCACTTTTACCAACCACTTGCTCACGTGAGAAGTCGAGGAGAAACACTTAACTTAACAACGTCTATCTACTTTCGGGGCAACAACCGAGGAAGGAAGTCGGCAGGGCGGGTTGTAAAATAACGCGCGGAATAGGTGGGGCTCAGGCAGGTCTTGGCGCCAATGCGGTCAGATCTTTTTATAATTTTCCATTTGGGGCATTCCCGTTTTCCTGAACTGCTAGGCGCTGCCGTGGAGTGACGTGACGTCACGCCTTGTTCTCTCGGGTTGTGGGCTGGTGTAGGTGAAGCGTGCAAAGATCGCAGGGTGGTGGGTGGGGTACAGAGGGGGG